TATATAAGATTTGTTTTGTTAAACCACTTTTGGGAGTGCCGCCGACCGTAATGTCTAACTAGAGGGCTCAAGCTTTGATGATGGTCAGCTCATTGTAGATTCATGCTGGGCATGGGCTGGGTACTTCTAAGGAGGGGTCCTATGTGGCAGACAGTCACAAGGGACCTCCTACCGCTGGTGGGAGAAGAGGCTTATCTTGGCGGTGCCTCAGAGTAGACAGTGAACACGGCAATACCAGCTCATGCAGTTTCAGCTTTACGAGCCCAATCCAGACAACACCAATAAGATCTGTAAGCGCTAATCTGCTGGATTGATAGCACGCATCGTAAAAACTCTTGGTAGTGACCAGTTCTCCAGGCTTCAAAAACATTTTCCAGCACACAGCACAAATGGCGGCCTCTCCGATCCAGCCCCAAAAGAGGCATGTTAGGAGGACTGCTGGCACCATTTGTACATACAATGCTTTCTGGTGCTCTACAAGCTCATAGGGGCTCCTCATAGTAGCTAGACCCCTGGTCTGTGGAAGCCCACACTGGAGAACAGGTCTTTCTGAGCCGATAGGAATGATTGTTCTTGTTTCTTCTCTCTTGCAAACAGGCACTGTCCATACCCAGCGAGCACACTATTTGGTCTTGTCACAGTCGGGGAAACTGACCACGAAAATACTCTCAGCAAAACGCTTCTCACCTCCAGGCCATCCATTATACAAGCAGACTCCAGCTGGTTGCAAAAGGGTGACGCCACGGTAAGCCCTTGCCTCCCATCAAGCAGTTCTAGGCTTTCATGCTGCATCTCTTGGGAGGCATCTCCATGGCTCACACTAAACGCACCGGCTAAATCTAACCGGGCTAGAGGGATTACGAGTCCAATGAGGAGGGAAGTCACTGGTCTATCTCCAGGGAAGCTTCGAGTGGAGTCAGAACCCAACAGGGAAGAAGGCTGGGAATCGGTAAGAGGGCCATAGCAAGGGAGAGATGAATGCTCAATGAAAGAGGTCGTCCATTTGGAGCAAAACAGGAGCCAGCGGTGCAAGCATTTCAGAGCCCACCTCCTCAAACCGGACAATGATGCAAAACACCTTAGCCCTGTTGGTATCTCTGTGTTCACGGAATAGCATCGCCCTCCAGCACTTGCGCAAGGAGCCCCATTGGGGACACTGGGAAAGACCAGAAATAGATCGCCCCTTTGCAGCGCTTCAGCCTCGTCTCCTGGGCACTGATGAAGGATGTTCCTATCCATCTCCACGCAGCTTTTGTCTGACAAGTAGAGGCGAGGAACACCTCGTAGGATACGCCATCTCCCAAGCCCAGGGCAATGCTGACATATGCACCTTTTCCAACAATGACCTCAAACCGTCTGCTCCAGGCCAAAGCCAGCACACAAGCTAGACCCTGCCAATAAGCTGCACTTGGCTGGGTGTACTTGCCATCATAGGTGATATGATCATGAGAGCGAGAGCACTTCCTGACCAAACACTTGATAAATAGCTTCCATTTTGGGGTCCACCCCCATTCAGAGCGCCTGGAGGTTTCTGGCACTCCGCAAGCTTTTGATCTTTCTTCATTCATCAGCCATCTCCCACAATGGGGCGCTAGTGCATCGCCAAGACCGACCCGTGGATGTTGAAGGTTGATGTCCAATGATGTACTGTAGGGCTTCAAATGAGAATGAAACGCAAGGCTGAATGTAGTGCATGGAGACACAGCAAAAAATGACCCCAATCTTCCTTCTCCACAAACAAAACCAGCCCAGGCAACCACTCCCTTGTCCGGGATGTCGTAGCGCCCAAAGTAGCTCATATCGAAGACCGGACTGCCTCCAAAGCCAGGCTCTGCCAGTGCCTCAGGTACCATTTCAAGGTACCATTTCAGCACCACCACTGGAATCAGGAGACTCAAAACAAAGCCCAGCCAGCCATGCTCATTTGATCCTTTCTCCTCCTCGCATTCTAGATCATTTCGATGATGAAATGCTGCAATCCGGTTCAGCAACTTAGAGTTCACTGCCTTTTTTGATATGATCCTCCACAGGACTTGGGGCAGGTCACCACCAGCTGTAGCAGCCGCCGAACCTCCTGTAAGACTGGTCTGAGAAAAGCGCTACTATGCTTGAAGCCGCCATGGGGACCAGGCACGAGAGCATCAACCGCCTTTCAACATTTCCACAGCTGAATGCCTCCACCATAGACTCCTGTGGGGCCAGCTCCTTGTTGAGGATCACTTGGGATAGCTTGTTGAGGCGCGCTGTCACGAGCCTCTGGTAAAGTAAACCAGGGATCCAGGAGCCCATAAAGTGAGATGAAGCAGTATCGAAGGCGACCAACCCTCCACCATAGACACTCGCCATCATAGACTCAAAGCACTCCTCCGGTAGAGCCCCAGATGCAATTGCACCTCCTCTTGCGACAACCTCTAAGGAATCGACCTTGATTTCAGCAAAAAATAGAAGATCTTCTTGTCATCTGAGTCTGGCGCGCCTAGGACTTTGTAGGCGCGATTGGCATAGCTCAGCTTTTCCCTGGACTTATTCTCACCCACACACGAGCTGCCTCTAACAGAGCTAGTTTCTTCAGCCGAGAAGAAGAGGAGGTCGTCAATAACCCATCCTAAGATAGGTATGTTGCGCAGGGTGGATTGGCAGGTGCGCAGAAAGTTGTACTCGAGGAGGCGTCCTGTCTCCTCAAGCATTATAGGATGTGCACACCATACATTCCCACCACCAAGGTGGTCTCTTTGAAGACAAGCGCCAGAAGCTGCAGGAACCGGGGCCTCACCACAGGACCCCAATAGCATAGGAGTGAGGCATAGGAGGCACTTTACAGCATATACCATGCGCAATCTAATGCTCTGCTCATGTTTAGCTCCAAAACCATCAGGAAAGCTTCTTCGAAATGGGGCCGCATCGAATCGGTAGATGTCAGTCTCCGCAAACGGCATTAAAAACAGGTTGGGGAGGAGATCATCCCAGCTCCATTCTCCGGTCCCTGAAGACAAGATCTCATCAGCAGAAAAGGGCCGGTAAGGGCAGAGCTCCTTCTTGATGTCATTGTCTACAGGGCCCTCACCTCCTGATGCTCCATGATAATACAAGGTATTTGGATTCAGCCCACATAGCACCAGAGCCTTCGCCAACTTCCGAAGTCTTGCATCTAATTTGAACATCATACGTCCACAACCTGCTATTGACATAGAAGCAGGAGGGCCGCACGCCTCGAAAAACATCTTGATGCGGCTGAAAACAGCACTGTGCGATGGACCAGGACATCTCTAGATCGGCTGCGAGATCGACATGGGGCCTTTGAACCACTCAAAGCTCAAATCCATCACATCCAGGTGCAGCAGCTTCAGAAAAGCCACTGCTCTCTTCTTCCTCTTGCGGCCAGGATCCAGGCCATCCATGAGAGCCTCCTCAGGAGCGGTAGCAGTGATGTCATTTCGACCACTGCGGCTGGCAGAAATGGTCCTCATCACAAAGCAAGAGAACCAAGTCTTGGCCGACGAAACCCAGTGCAGGAACTGAGACACCCAAACGCTGAAAGGTACAGGATGCATGAAGGAATGCTCCGGGTCTATAGGCCAAGTCATTGCATCGAATTTGTCCATGCCATTTGTGTCAACGTTCCCTTCCTTGCAATCTCTGTCATTGTTCGACTCCGAGAAGGGGGATACACATACACCCTCATCACCAAAAGAGCCACCTGACATGCTATCTCCACTTTCAAAGGGCATGCCATCATAGGGCTCAACACCGTACTCCGACGGTTCATATTCACAGCCATCCAGGCTCTTCCCCAACAACATCTGCTCCTCATCTCCCTTTCCCCGCCCCTGTTCACCCCGACCGTGTAAAGCGGAAGACCGTTCTGACATAGAAGAGGCCGGCAAGGGAAAAACAGGGGGTACTAAGGGAGGCATTGCTGTCACCCCGGAGGGCCGGAGCTAGGATGTGGCATTTTCCGAACTCTGTGCTATAGCTTTTGCCTTTGGGAACTGGGAACCGCCCCTTCTTCTTTGGCCCAGGAGTCCATGTAGGCTGGACCTGATTGCTGGCTTTTGGGTGAGTGACCTCTTGACTCTTTGTCTGAATGTAGTCCATCTCTTTCGAGTAGGTCCATTGCTGAGGAGCCAAAGAGGAGAAGCTTTTCGAGCGGGGATCGAAGCTCTGGTTGCGATAGCCCCACAGCCGCGACGGCGGCTCCTGTAGAAGCATCATCCTGTAGGCCAATTCCCATCTGTTGCCATCCAAATTCGCCTGATCGACTCCCACCATGAGCAAGGCGAGATAATCCCTGGCTCCATTGAGGTCCGAATGGACGAGAGCATCTGCAACATGTGCAAGGGCATACTGGATCAGCCCCAACTCCTTGAACTTGCCAGGCACGAAGAGCTCGTTGCTGGAATGATAACTTGCCACCACGCAGGCCACCACAAAGCCACAAAGCTTCGCTGGGCAAATCAGGGATCTCAAGTGCAAGGGCGTTGTAGCTCGACGAGCTTGATGAGGTCCTTGAAGGGCTAGGCGCTCGGGCTGCGGCCGAAACCAGCTCGAAGTCGTCGTGGCGCCCCTTCTCAAGCTCACCCACTTTCTTCTCCAGAATGTCCACCCGTATGAGCAATTGCTGAACCTGAAGTTGCAAGAGCTCGATGGAGGTGTCACTCATACAAATATGCTTGGATGCGATTGTTCCCAGCACAGCAGGAGGCACCACAGGAGGCCTCACAGAAGAAAAGAGCAGGCCCGATACCAAGCAAGGGGAGTAGAAAGCCCAGCCGGAAGGCAAGGATGAAGAAAAGGCAAGCTCCAAGGAACAGGCCAAGACCAATGGATCGGACAGGCCAATCCGAACCAGTTGGACTCAACCCCTAACCTGATTAGATCCACAAAGGAACCTACGGAAAAGGGTGTGGGCATGAACCGACTTGAGCGAAAAACGTCATTCACATCATGTTCCTGCAAGTCAATAAGAAAACGCTCTTCATGCTCTGAGCTCCGTGGGAGTCCTTGACCTTCTCGGGAGTCAACTCCAACCTCAGCAATTGCGTGACCGGGACTGCTTGGTCACGGACGAATCACAAGTAAGCTACTAGGAGCAAGGGGCATCGCTACTAGTATGCAAGGTGTTTGTTACCACTTTCGCACCAGTCCAGGGCTTCAAGCCCACGTATCTGTGGGTGTGCCTCCTCCCGATTGGTCAAAAAGCACATGTCTAACTGTCTAACTGAAACAGTCCTCCAAAGCACATGTCTAGCCCTATCCGAGTCAAGAAGCCATTCCTCAGGCTCCATCACGCCCTTGTAACCACCCTTGATGCCATAGATCCTCCGCACGCCGTAGGCCCAAAGCATGTTCACAATCTCACGGATGACACCTAGGCCAAGTCGCTCCCCTCTCAGAGCCTCTCAAGAGTTGGAAACCCCAGCGTCCGATGGCGCCAGGGGCCAACTTGATATTGCTCCAGCAGGGAGGCTAGGTTAGTCGAGCTCACCTTTTCATGTTCAAGTTCAAGGGTTATGCATGTGTGGTCAGAAGCTTGTTTCTACGACTATGTCTCTGACTGGGATATTATACAGTGGCTCGACACCATTTCACGGGCCCCATGCAATCCCATGCATGCACTACCACTCACTCTCTGGCCTAGGCACAGTTCAGTCCAGGGCAAATACCACCACAGCTGACGATAGCAGCGGCCGAGGCGGGGTCATGAGGATCGAAATGCAAGGTCTCACGAGGACCCGCGCGTGTCCTGAGGATAGCGCACCGGTGAGCGGGGCTGGAAGTGTCTTGGTCGGTGCACATGGCTAAGTGCAGAACATCTTGAAATAGGGCACGTCTTTGCCAGAGTCAACACCTCGGCTTCACCCCATACCGGAACAAGAGCCTAGCGCTTGTTGATGTCCTACATTGTCTTCCAATTCGTCTTAGGCTTTCACAACAGCATTCAAGCTCTGAGCATGAATTGGCACGAGGGAACACAACGCCATTGTTTGCCCTTCGCCGTGCACGGTACATTCATAGCTGGGGCTACGGACGATCGCCGAGGAACATCGCCTGGCTCGTCCATGAGAAGGTGTCGCTGAACCTTAGAGCTTGGCTGGTTAGCAAAATTGCTGCAAGCACAAGTGCTGGTTTGAAATGTGATATGTCTTGACAAGTAATATGACACATCATATGACACCATACCTGAGAGCTCAAAATTGAAAGGACGTGCACCCGTCTAGCAAAGAGCTCAAGTGTTCAGCCAAAAATGCCTCCAAGGTGCAGCTTCACACCCTTCAATGTAGATGGGATGTTGAAGGTGCCGTAGCGCTCGCCTGCCCAGTCGCGCAGCCCTTGAGAAACATGGATCGTGCCCTGCTTGGTGCACATGCTGTCGCAAATGGATCAGAAGCCAGAAAGGTCTAGACTCTAGACATGTCTAGACACAAAGACAGGTGCTGACAAGATGCTCAAGTGGAAGCACTGCAGCGACCGGATGGAGATGTGATCCTACAAGGGAGAACTGATATCAAAATTGCGGCTGTAACAGGTCCATAGGGAAGAGTGTGAAAAAAGGAGTTCAAAAGAATTAGCGTAACCCTAAAGTTGATGCTAGCACACGGCGTGTCACTTCTGTGCTCATGCCAAAGGAATAAAACCGCGAGTTAATTTTAGCAAGCAGATTGTCATTTTCCCACGCCAACGTCGCCAACGTGTGAGCTGGGAGAATTAAAGCCTGGAGTTTATTCTTTGTAACTGGGCGCATGTCTACAATACAGTTAATTCTTTCCCAAGGCCTTCTTTGTCAGGAAAAGAGGTCAATGAACAGGCTTTGCCTTGATATCACAGGATTCTTTCCAAAAGCCTTCTGTGAGCTTGCGATGCCTTGCAAACATTCAAGCTGGGTGGCCCTAGGGAGGCCCTGAGGAGTAATTATATTGAATCACGCATTAATACTTTGATATGCGCAGAAGAGTTGAAACGAATTATGACTTGAGTTATTGAGAACAGTATGTGTGAATTGTAAAACAAATAACTCTTGATCTAATTCGTTTGAACTCTTCTTTTCACTCCGTTTCGGTCCAGAGGGGCCCTTTGGCTTGACAAAGATTAAGCCACTAAGTTCACCCATAACATATCCGTCTTGTCAATGTCATCTGTTCTCATCTCCATCAGCCATTCTGACAACAAAACCGTCCTGGATCAGATCATCTCTTGCCAAAGACCTCTTCTCGCGCTCTGTTCCAAAGCCTGAAGTAATGTTGCAACAGCAGCTGAAGCAGCCAGATGATTTCGCGAGAATCAGTGCTACGAGCGTAAGAACTTTAATTAATGTTGGATCCTGCTTAGTAAACCGGTCCTCAATAATGCTAATTTTTTCCAAAATTATTCTAGACCCCAGAGTGGTCCTGAATAATGCAAAATTGTTGGAGGACCCTAATTCTTTTATATTGGACACCTAATTAATAAGGGTTTGAATTCCTTCTGAACCCTGTCCACCTGCACTCCCCCTCCCTTCCCAGGCAAGCAGCCAGCAATCAATTACAAAAAGGAATCCTCACAGAAACCCAGATTTGAAGGAGGGGGGGGAACCCCCTTTACTAATCAGGATCCAACATTATTGGCTTCTGCATCTTGACTAGGTGGTCCGAAGCTCGTTTGTCGTACCATGTCGTACTCTAAGCTGCGGCATGCTGCCGCAACAGGCCCAAATAAGATACAGTAAGCACTCAACGCCTTGAAAGCTCAACACACCCTCCCACGCACTGAGTGCCCGAGCCATCCATGGTCTGCAGACTGGTTTGCGGCACTCGCAGAGTGTCCACTTGCATGTTGCCAGAGTTGTCTGAGTCGCACGGTTCAAATCCAACTAGGTAACTAGGTACAGGATGAGTGGGCACTCTGTGATACAACTTTGGTCATCTTCAGAACCTTCATGCTTTGGTTACTATTGAGCTTCCTATCTTCATTCGACTTGACATCACATGAAATCATCAGCTGTCACACTGAAGGCCGAGAAGCTTCGTTTGAATAAGGTCCTGCGGACAATGCTCTTCGTTGGGTCCAAAGGCTTGGCATTGGCAGCTCCGGTGAACTCCTCGGACACTGTGAGTCTGTGAGCATCAAAAAGGGAGGCCCTGAAGGGCCTTATATATTAGAAGCGATAGCCTCCCACCTAAAAGGATTTATTAAAGGTCTCTTCATGTCCCTTCCTTTTTTTTTTGTCGTTTGTTCCGACTTTGAGGGGTGGATCAGTGGATCATCAATCAAGGATCTCAAGCCAGGTCGGTTAGTATCTAATTGTGAGGTGAAGTTTGTTTCCGCAGTCTAGGTATGTCTAGATCATGATTGCCTTGTATACCTGCTGGTTGGCAAGCGAAAGGGCCGGTACACGGCGGAAGCTAAACATCAATTGCAATTTGAACAACGTTAAAGTGATTATGAACATGCGTTGTCTCGGCTGTTTCATTGGCAGGAAGCCCGGCCCTTGATCGAATCTCAATGCTGCAAACTGAGGATGGCACTAAGTTGGGTTGTTGTGTGGTGGTTCTCAAGGCTTCAAACCATCGGCCGTTCACGTCCACAATGCGACTGGGCATGCTGACCTCGGGTGGGCTAAACCTGGGGCTACTGCTACGGTGCGAAGAATCAGTACAATCAAACAGGTGAAAGGGATTACTTCTAAGGGCACCGGCCGCCGTAGGCGCGCAATGGCGTGCATCCGTCATCGAACACTCCACTTCACTACCGGAGCTTGAACAAAATTGCAACAAAGCTGCTAGGAGCTTGATGGGCAAGTACACCACCTTATGTCGGACAAGCTGACAAACACGCAGGCAATGCGGGCAGCCTCACTACTCGTATTACTCGTACCAATTCAATCACCTGCAATTTGACTGAATGATCTGCGAGGACTTCTGCTTAGCTAAGTCCAGTTTGGGGAGAAAGATTGTAGCCTACATCCTGACCACTGAAATCTTGCATGACATACGAGCATCACGCTGACTGCATTGGGCATGGCCCTGCTCCCAACACGTAGCGTAACGGGGGGGAGTGACGTCAACTCGTTCAAGTCCGCTCCACAGAACTTTGCCAACTTTCACAGCTCTCAGGGAGAGATAGCAATGATTCGATGTCCTTTTGGGAATGCTAGAGGGGTCAGTTTGGTACTTTATATTCCCATTGGTGCAGGGTATCCCCTCTTGCGAATCAACCAACCACTATTAATTACTAGTCCATCTACAGCAAAATTCGCATCCAACGAGACATCCCACAATCTTCATTCCAGGGCACATGTTGATCGACCTTGCCAACGGTCAGTCCAGTATAACCCGCCATAGCCGCATGTACTGCAGCTTGCGCCAGCTCGGAGCAGTAAATGCCTAAGTTGGATGTCTGTCTCTACCAGGTATGCCTGTTTACCTTTTTTCGCTCGTGGAACCCCAAGGCAAGCTGTAGCGCCTTGTTTGGAACCCGCTGTCTGCAGCTTAGGGACTGTCGTTGGGGTTTGCTGCGACAGCCCGCACCTGATGCGGCGTCTTGCGAGCACTTCGGAAAAGAATGAGCCTGACTCCTGACCGTACTTTGCAGAACCTGTCTCTGATGTCCTTCTTTCGAATCACTGCACAAGGCCTAGTCTGATGCTGAGACGCTAAGAAAGTTTGAGAAAGAGCTTTCGGAATATGGGCGTTGTGGGTATAAGGGAGGGCTTATTTATGTAATTCAAGAACTGTGTTTGCAGTGTTCGCGCTTCAGAGCTTCACTCAGAGAACACAGCCACCCCGGTGAAGGGCGCGCCTGATACGTGGGGTCGACGTACTTGATAGTGATCGGAAGCCTTGGCTCGTAGCAAGGTTGTCAATTCATATTGTTACGATCCTATGGGCCATCCATGTCAATTCTGATCAAAACAACTGCATCTGAAGTGAATCCGTCTGCCAGAATGCAGTCAAGCCATGATTTGTTATTGATATACACGCACATCATCCCAAATTAAGCTACGTTGACCATACATACATGTGTATCTTGCATGTCTTTTCCAGAAATGAATGAACAGCAAGCAAGCGAAGAGGCTTCAGGGTCTTGAAGTGGTTGATGATCGAATCCTCCAAACTTTCGACTTTGCAGACCGCTCCAGATCTGATTTCAGATCTTTAAGGTCTGCACTGTGAGTCATATGGATTTTTACAAAAAAACCTGATCAGGGGGGCTTGCAAAAATGACTCTCATTTTTTTTGACTCTCAGTTTTCTTGTTTCTGACGCTAATGATATTGATACTAAAGAAGAGGGGGAGGAAAAAGATGAAGATGCTCTCAGTTTTCCTATTCACCTTTGATTTGGATGCTAACGCAGAAGGGGAGGAAGAAGAAGATTTCTTAACTTATGATTCATAATGAATCTATCTTTTAAACAGTTGAGTCTGAACTTGAGGACACATTTAAAAATCTAAGTGAGTCTTGTGGACCGTCAAGTCTGAATGGCATCATGTCTGTATAAGCGAGTCTCTCTTGGAGAATATGCTTTGGACAGTTGAATCTAAATTTGAACGTAATAAATGGTTCATGTAACTGACTATTTTGAACGGTTGAGTCTGAATGCTGCATTATGAATTAAAAGATGGTCTGGGGCGGGGGGAGGGGGGGTAAGGTGCCCAACACCCCAAAACACAACATCCAAGAACAACTGAAGTGTCCTTGTAATATGTCAGGATGTCTAGAATCACTCTAGGGTTGGTAACATGTTTATTACTTTAATTTATTCGAAATGGAGCGGAAAATATCCTTGGCACCAACTCAAACCCATTTGTTTAAAGTTTCTT